CACTTAAAGGGAATTCATTGCTGTGATGTAATTTTTGAAGTTGAAGTCAATATAAACACGAAAATACAAAGTATAAACATTCTTTTAATGATGATATGCATTTTTATATTGAACAATTTTTCATTCAATAATGTATTTAGCAAAAAAAAAAGCAAAAACGAAAAAATTTTGCGTCGAGTATTGTGCGCATGAGTTAGGTAATTGTACGCAAAGCCAAAATCGTAAGAAATAAATATAAAATTAATAAAATAAATATTTCATGGAAAATGTTTCATAAAATGTTGATAAAAAAATGAAAATTCTGTTATTATACCAATGTTGATACAAAATTAATATAAACTTTGAAAAAATAATATAAAAATTGGAAAAATTAATTATTTAAACAAAAATCGCATATGTAATTTTCAAGGTTTGTTTGCGTCGCATGCTCCAAATTAACCCAGAGAGCACTTGGATCACAGGTAAGGTAGTGATTGCATTCATGTGCTCCAATGTTCAGCGACACGAACGGATTTAGGACAAGTGAGTATATCACCTAATCTAATCTGTGAGACCACTTGAACGAGTCAGACTCGTTTCGTTTCGGTATTTTGTGTTACCTCGATTACTTGAAAAGCTTTTATACAAAATAAATGCGTTTTTAATAAATATTATATTATATTTTTTATATTATATTTTATTTTATTGTGTTAATATTATTTTATTTAAATTTTTTTATTTTTATTTATTTTATTAATTTATTCCTTTTATTTTATTTTATGTTATTTTATTTTATTTGATTAATATATTATATTGTTATATTATATTTTTATATTTATGTCATTTATTAAATGCGTTTTTATACAAAATGAATCTGAAATATTTTTTTCGATACAGTACGTTTTCAACTATTACGTATGCGTGCATAACATGCTCCAATCGTACTATCTTCTGAGGTGAAGCAAATGGAGCATACTCTTAATTGATCCATATGCTCTAACGCGACGCGAACATCTAGTCGCCATATTAGTCCTGGTGACGCGAACGTATTGCGAGCGGGGTGGGCATGTTGGAGTGTGCGACGCGAACAACCCTCAGAGTAATCAGCTCCTGCATTGTTCATGTACTCGTTTGGAACACAGGCAGCATTGAAACTACCCAGTCGACACAAACTAAAAGTAACATAATATTAATTTTATAATTTTGCAGTCCACAATGTAACTCTCAAGCAACACATACAAATCAATACAAAATCAAAATGACTTTGATGATATTTAAAGTCAATAAACAATCAAATTTTCTACCCAAAAATCATTTTGACGTTGAAATTTGAAATACGTCCATTTTGATTTTCTCTCGACTTAGGCTGCATTCCATTTAACGTTCACAACGCTCATGGAATCATTTCATCTTTGTCGTTAATCAAATGTTAAACAAGAACAAACGATACTCGCGAACGTGCGAGTGTTAAGTGGAACGCCTTAGTGTGTTCCTTGGGCTGTTATGTAGCACCATGTGTTGTTATATGTATATTGTGGAATACAAAATCACACAATATTAATATCATGTTACTTTTAGTTTATCAACTGAACAGAGTTCTATATCTTCCGAATTCTTCGCAAATAGTATACTTTTCATTGAGAGGAAACTTTGAATTGTCCATGCGCACAATTATCCGCCGCGAATTGATTTGATAAAAATGATTACTCAAACACTTTTTAACTTAACTTAATAAATAAATAGCTCAAAAGACACGCAAAACGATGTATTTTTGTAAGATATGCAAATGAACAAAATAAGAATACGTCTTATTTTCTGAATGCCAAAATTATCAAATTATATAATTTCACTTTTCCTCACTTTTGCCATTAACTATAGTTTTAAACTGTATAATTTAAGGTAAGTGTTCATGATGTCACTTGTCGTTCATATTCAATGACAAACAAGTCACATGATTTCATATGTCGCTAATCTCAAATGTCGCATATAAATGGGTTAGCAGCGATAAATTTTTGAATTTGGTAATTATATTAATTGTCATATAAAGTACTAGAAAGTCTAAAATGTCATATCAAAAACGGTATTACGATTGGACTTGTCAAGTTGATGTAATTGTGCACAATCTGCAGACATGGTAGTAGCTCGGCGCTAAGCATGACACTAGACATTGACGTTAAAAATAAGTGCGAAAAAGGACACACTGAAATCGCACGTAATGCATAATTATTTTTTTGATCTTTGTATTTATATTTAGGCACTCAGATTTTGTCATTTTGCTTCGATATTATGCAATTCCATCATATCAATCAGCATTAAATTATTTTAACCTCTCAAAATATGATGGTTCATTACAAGAACAATGATGTACTCGCTATTCCGCAACATCAAATAGTGGTTGTTTCAATAATGCATTATTGAATAACGCTCTATTCTGCAGTCCTATTCCACACTGTGATTTCACCTTTACCCAACAGGTAAAATTTATCAAAAGATGGAACAACCAGATCTTACATTGCCGAACGCACTTTATTATAGGCCATAGGCCTAATTTACATCGTGCACTTGATACGGATACTAACTAATAACTTTCTATTGAATAATCTTAATTTCGACGATACGTGTAAACATCTATAAGATATGTATATTTAATTAATTATTTTGATGTATATTGTATCAATTTAGTACATCATTCTTTGAAATTCACTGAAGTTAAAATAATTTAATAGAAAATTATTAGTTACAACGTTTTCGATCCAACCGGGTTTGCAACTTGGGTTAGAAAATGCTTCGCTATTGGTTGATGTTACACGCTTCACCAATAAGAGAACACGAAACATCATTACTTCAATCCAGGTTAGTGCAAATTTGGGCCGAAAATGCTATAACTAGTTGTTACTATTAGTATGTGTATCAAATGCATGTAAACTAAGCAATAGACATAATAAGAATAAATCGAGCGTGTCCTCTATTTTAGCGTGAAGATTAGGTAAAAAAAAGACAGAGAGTAGATATTAGACTGAGAGCAAAATATTCACACCTTATTCCCCTCCCCCTTTTCTCGTCAGAAAGAGAAAGCACGGCCTTTTCTACCTAGTTTTCACGTTTCAAACCTCACGCTCGGTCTATTCTTATTATGTCTATGATTATAGGTCTGTTTTCTGTGGCTAGTGTACACTTTTGGAACTTAAAGTGAAATAGATACATGTTTGATATTTATTGAAAGCGAGAAAGAGAGTTTTAGAACAGTCTAATATAGGAACAGGGGGTCAATTCTGTATCTTCAAACAAAATGAAAATTACAAAAATGAGTAAATTTATTAATAGCGTTTTTGGCCCGACCGAGTTTGCACTAACCTGGGTTGAAATAATGATGTTTCGTGCTCTCTTATTAGTAGAGCGTATAATGTCAACCAATAGCGAAGCATTTTCTAACCCAAGTTGGTGCAAACCAACCCCGGTCGGGTCGAAAACGCTATAATTCTAAAGGGCTCCGCACAATAAAAAGAACAGAAAACAAAGAATAAGAATTTCAACCTATCAGAAATTATGTATTCCACAAAGTATGATTTCTAATATTGAAATTCTTATTCACTGTTTTCTGTTCCCTATTCCTTTTAATGTGCGGAGCTCCTAACAATACAAAGTCGACTCTAAAGGCCTGACTTAGCAAAGTAACTTAGCAAACTTACAATCGACATATTGATGTTTGTGCTGTTAGGGAAGTGTTGACCAATAAAATCAATATTCTAGTAAATTTGCTCATTTTTGTAATTTTCATCTCGTTTCAAGATACAAGGAGTGTATCTCGAATTGAAGTGAAAATTACAAAAGCGAGCAAATTTACTAGAATATTCATAATTTAATATTAGTCAATATCTAGTGAATTTGCTCACTTTTGTAATTTTAACTTCATTTCAAGATACTCAATCGACTACCAGAATCGATCCCTAGAAAATAGACAATACATCAGAATATCTATTATGAAACTTTGTGTGCCTTCCAACAAGCGACACAGTGCGACACAGTGATCATGTCATCTTTGTTTAACATTGATAAACAACAAGGATATAATGATCCATGATGTGTCACACCGTGTCATTTGTTGCTTGTTGAAAGGCACACCTTATCAATAGGGGCGTTCCTACACGGGTACTCCTCGGGTGTCATGTCATCAGTAGATCTATTCGCGTTGCTTGCACTTTTGGCACTCGACATCTTCGTTTTCTTTCTTTTTAAAGCAAAATATATATCCGTTCTATTTAAGTTCTCAAAAAGTAATCAAGAAGATTTGGAGATTTCATGCAAACTAATCGTTTGTTTTGGTAAGTTCGGATCTACAATAGATTTTAAGTTTTAAGTTTTGAGTCATAAGAAACTGACCAATTACAGTCAAATGTAAGGAGAATAATTGATTGTGATTCGTCCATTCTTTATGGCTTAAGATTTAAAAATCTGTAGATCCAGGCTAAACAATAAGAATGATATGAGATCCAGGTAGCATCCAGATGGGAATCCGAATACAGTCTAGGATGAAAAGTGAAAAATGAAAATTTTTAATCATTGAAGTTGGTGGAGAAATTTTTCACTTTCATCCTAGGAAAAAAGTTTCATGATTAATACCCAGGGAATCGATTGTATATTAAAATGAGGCAAAAATAAAAATAACCAAATTTACGAATATTCATAATTTTATTGGTCAATATCTAGTGAATTTGCTCACTTTTGTAATTTTCGTCTTATTTCAAGATACACAATCAACTCTCAAGGTTGCGTTCCAAAATTCAACTTTGTCAACTCGAGTATTACTTTATCCTTGTCGATCACCGAATATTGAATAAAGATAAAAGATACTCGAAATTGACATAGTCAAGTTTTGGAACGCACCCCAGGAATGATTGATGGATTAAACGTAGTTGCTAGGAAACTCGATGTTCATAATAAATTAACAAATATGTTACTCAAGAAGTCGTTTAACTAATACTCCTAAATTTATACAATTTTTAAATTTGATGTATACCAATATCATGTAAGTTGAAATACAAATGTAGAAAAAAGAAAAAAAAGAAAAAACCTAATTAGAAGAAAAATTGTCAATATTGAGCGTTATAAGGAATTTACAAAAGAAAATGCCTTGCGATGGTAAAAACCCAAATTGTGATAGAAGACGCAATTTACTAGCGCAATTAAAATGTTTAATCAGTTCAATGGATAGGAAGTAAGATTGTATTTGTCTGCATTACTAAAAATAAGAAAGTGTGATTTATTGAATTTGTATATTATAGGAAACCATGTGAATGGGATGAGCCATCTTGTCCACCAATAGTATATTGCCCTACAAATTTATGTACTCCACCTTACTGTGTGAGTAATGTTAATTTTCATTAAAGCAATATTTTTTATTATTTCTTCTTGAAGGATTATACAGTTTTCATGACTTATATTAATCAAAGCCTAATCTTTAAAATATTTTTAATTGTTTATAAAATTACATGTTAAACTGTTGAAACATTCATGAAATATATGATACATTGAATGTTAAAAAAATATTGCAGGAATCTGTAAAATCATGTAAATTGTTTGATTTTCGAACAAGTATAATGTATAAATGCGAATGCATAAAAAGGAATGGTTTACAAGATAGATGCATGATGTGGAATTGCATGGGTAGACCAGAATGCATGACAAAACTGTATCCAATTTGTGAACCCGGTTGCACTGCATTGTTGCAGTTGACAGATTTAGGTGACATGGACACTGCCCTTAGAAAATTCTACTGTGCAGACCAAGCTAGAGAGTCAGCTCTAGCTGCATATTGTAGATTAGCTTGTGACAAAGCTTATCAAAAAGAAAATCTATTGTGTGATAAAAATAATTGCGAGAATGATGAAGCTTCTCCAATGTCCGATACAAGTTGCAATCAACAAGTTGTATCAAATCCATATCAATTTTGTGTACCATCACCATATATAGTAAAATCTTGCGATATATGCTGTATACCTTACAATTAGAAAAATCTCTTCCATGTAATGCACTCTACTAACGTATTTATATACCTACTTGCTTATAAGAGGCCTGTTCTTTTTGACTGAATTTTTACATCATCTTTCTTTTTCTTCTTTTTTTTCCTTCTAGAGAGAAAAGAAAGAAAAATGAACTAGTGCAAAAGCTCTTAGCTAAAAAGAAAAGCCTTTTGTATGTTTTATTGGGTGCATTTAGATGCATTCAGAACTACAATAATGGGTGGTATTCATAATCGGATCTTATATTAAAACCTTAATTTAAGATCTTAAGTACAGTCTTGAAATATCATGAACCAATCAGAGAACTGCACTAATATCTTAAGACATTACTTAAGACGGTCTTAAATATAAGATCCGACTATGAATACTGACTAATAGATGCATTCAGTATTGAGCGCTCGGCAAGCTCTTGCATTTGATTAGCATACTCTGTTAGATCTACAAATATAGACTACACAGGTACAAGAGCTAACTGAGCACTCAATGAGCTCTTTCACTTGATTGGCATATTTCTTTAGACCTTAAAATGTAGACCAATCTAAGAGCTCATTAAATGCTCAATGAATGGTTTTGTCGTTCTGAATGCATCCATTGTTTAATTACTTAATTCTTAAGATTTTAATCGTTATTTACTCCATTGTCTTCACATTTTTGTAACAAATTTCTTAAAGATATATTAAGTTTATATTAATTGTACGTTTTGTGTCTAACTTGTAATAATTATTTCACAAAATATATAGTGTATTGTTTAATAGTCAATAAAAAGAAAAGAAATTTGATAGAAGCTAAATTACATCTGTTGCAATTATATAATTATATCTTTTTAATTTTATAATTTTATTAGAATTATTCGTTATAGATAATAGTATTCATTTAAACCCAATCTACAAAAGTCGCAGAATGCCTAAGAAGCATTAAAAAGGATACGGTCAATGCGAGGCTACAAATGCTTTAAAGCACTTTTCGATTGGTCAATTTGTAAAATTTTTTTTCTAATTGGTCAACTAAACGTTTCTAAACATTTGTAGTGAGACTTTGACCGCAGCCAAAGTATATCAAACAAGGAAAGATTCAATACCAATTTCACGACACAAAAACAGGTTGGTATTCATACTCGATTCTTAGAGAGCGTTTATATTGGCTGTAACCTTATGTATGCTATCATCTTCGAGTATTCCCTTCTTATCACTGAATGAGAGGGGAATATTTGACTGTGATTAGTTAATTCTTACAGATTACGGCGTATGATTACGGCCAATATAAACGCTTCCTTACATTTAAGACTGTCTTAAGTATAATCTTAAGAGCGGAATTCATAGATGTTATTGAAGATTCGAGATGATCTTTAGCTAGTGCATGAACCAATCAGAAAGCCATATTGGCATCTTAGACATTGCTTGAGATTAAAAACTGACTGATAAATTCCGGCCTTAGACCAGAATGATGTCATAAGTCAATCCGGGGACTGTATTAGCAGAGAGAAACCTGAGAGAGGATATGCCGGACCAAAACCTGTAACCGCAAAATGCTGTCGCACACTACTATCGCCCTTTGAAAAAATGGATGTTAATTACATAACAATAGCCATCTTTTTGCGGTGCTCCTGATGGAAATAGATAGTTAAAATCGCTAAAATAACTAAAATCTATTAAATTAATAAAAATTTTAACAATTTCAGCAATTTATTTCCTCAGGAGCACTGCAAAAAGATGGATATTGTTGTGTAGTTAATATTTACTTCTTCAGAAGGTGATAGTGCGCGGCAGCATTTTGCGGTTACAGATTTTGGACCATCATGTCCTCTTTCAAGTTTCTCTCTGATATTAGCATCTTAAGACATTATTTAAGACAGTTTTAAAAT